GGGGGAAAAAAAAAAAAAAAAAAAAAAGAGCAGGAGAAAGAAGAGCGCAATCTGGCAGAAGGGACTGGGGGGTGCACAGGCCCCAACAGGGTGCAGGGAGGATGCCATCATGGACCAAGCACCAAGGACCCTGCAAGCCACAGGCACTCTATTGGAAGGCCTCTCTATTGGGAGACTTAACAGCATCTGGGATCCCCACCCCCATTTCCATCTTGAACTCAACAGCAGACTATTCCAAGTGTGGTGGGAAGTCTCTGGGTGCCTGAATCAGAAGCATAGCTGGGGAGGGGAAGCTCAGAACATTCTCCAAAGGAGATGTCATTCATCACTTTTCAAGGTAGCATGTTGATGATTAACATTGTTAAAAAAGATATTTGAGGAGGTGTTGGGAAAGAGATAGTGATAGGCTTGGAAAAGGTTAGAGGGTGGCGGCAGCTTTCAGCGTGGCCTATGGGTGGGTGTGATCCTCTTTGCCTCAGAGGCTTGGGTTCCATGACCATAGGCTCTGAGCGTGACCTGCAGCTGGGCCCAATACCCCTAGCCAATTCTGATCCCAGGGGCTCTGGCCTGCCTGTAGCCTCCATCCCACTCTCCTGCAGTGGGTTTTAATCAGAATTCAGGCTTCCTACACTGAATTCCCTCTAGTCAGAATATCCTCCCACCATTTGGGGATGTTCTGGAATCTTAAGTCTGCCCTTCAGCACAAAGCAGGCCCAGCTTCACATCTCTCCTTTCCTGCCTCTCACCAGAGGGCCTCCAAGTCCTACAAAGGGCACAGGGCAGGCCAAGCAGGGTTCGGGACTGAGCTTAGACTCTCAAAAGCCTCTCGACACATGGCTCCCAGACAATGCCCCTGTTAATGCTGCCCAGGAAGGTGTCCACTTGTAGCAATGCCTCCTGCCCGGCTGCTGCTTCCTCACCTGGCTGGTAGCACCAGCACTCTCTTGGTTGGTGTGCCGCAAACATAGGCCACGCCTCTCTGCAGGCCCAGCACTGAGGGAGGCTGAGGACTCATCCTGAGGAAGGACAAGCCCCTCGACTGTAGCTGCCCAGGTTTGTGGCCCCAAGCTGTGGCCCTGGCCTGATTCCCCACATCTCATGTGCCAACCAAGTTTGAAGGCAGGCTTGGCCCCACAGGGTTTACAGCTGGCTCGACACATACCCAAGAGCCAAGCAGACTTTATTTCTGCTGCAGCCTCTGATGGTCAGGGTGCCTGCACTTCTGCATACTTCACGCTTCATCGCCACCACAGTGGCAACAGCTGTGGCTCTTGGCCAGCCTGTCAAGGTTCAGTGATGCTGCAGTCATAGCAGAAGTTGAAGTTGGTGGGGGGCGGGGGGATAGGGGGTGGCTGCTCAGGGATGGGCACGTTCTCCAGCTCCAACAAACGCAGCTTGGTCTCCATGGTCAGCAGCTGCTCCAAGTCCAGCCGTGTCTGCTCACTGCCCATGGGGCTGCCCAGCAGGGTGCTCAGCCCATCTGTCCATAGGTGGAACTGGGGACGGGGCCAGCTCCATGAGGGCCTGCCAGTCTCTTCCCCTGCCCATCTGCCCAACTCAGCTCAACCTGCCCAGACACTCACCTCCCGTTTGGAGGGGGCAATGAAGTTGAGGTACGCCTCCTCCTCCCCATGGTCGTAGCTGACTGAGAAAGCTAACTCATAGAGGTCCTGGGGAGGCAAGGGAACCAGGAGCACTGAGCAGGGGGCAGGGCAGGGCAGGGCAGGTAGGAAGGAGCCCAGGCCCCCACTGCCCTTACCTTGTTCTTCATTGAGCCCTTCTCCCGGACATGGGGGCAGTCCTTGCCGGTCAGTAGTGCCCTGATGTCAGCCACTGGGACTGTGGGAAGAAAGCTGGGCTGCCCATTGGGGCCCCAGGCATCCCTGGGGCATGGGGTGGTCTGGGGGAGTAGGTGTCCTATCCCTGCCCCTGCCCTCCTTACGTTGCTCTGGGAGGCTCTCGGGGGCAGGTGGACTGGCACTGTCCTCCACGTCCCCATACTGCAGTACCTTGTGGTTGGGGGACAGGCAGCAGAACCACAGCTTGTCTATGGGCAGCAAGGGGAAGAGGGAAGGAGTGATGAGAGGGGCCCTGACCCCAAGCCAGACGTTCTCTGCCCCCCTGCCCACTCAACAACCCTGGCGCCTCCGGCTGCTGATCTTGCGGAAGAGTGTCCCCTCGCAGAGGCGGAGCAAACGCTGCTGGCGGATCAGGCCCATGAGCTCTGGCTTCAGCTTCTCCCGAAGTTCCCTGGGTGAGGGGGAGGGAGTTTACTGACCAGAACTGACCTGGGGCAAGGCCCATGGGGCACCAGGGAAAGTGGAGGCTAGGACTGGAACCCATCCCTACCAACTCACAGTATGGGAGGAGCCAGAGTGCCCTCCTGATGCAGCCGCTCAGTCTGCCGTAGTCGCAGGACCTCCCCGTAGGTGAGCGCATTCACCTTGATTCGGAAGAGCTCCAAGGAGCTGGGCTTCAGGGCCAGTGTGCGGGCCAGCTGCTCGCGGACCACTTGCATGACCTGGGGCCACCCCAGGTTCAGTTCAGGGTCTGAGCTCTGGGCCCCTACCCGGCATAGCCCCCTGCCCTGGCCCAGGTCTCCCAGCTCCCACCCACCCACCTTGTCAAAGTCCTCCTGTGTGGCCCGCATCTCCTTCCAGGTCTTACTTAGAAGCTGAATGCTCACACAGAAGAGCTCATGGAAGCTCTGGTCTTGGCCGAAGAACATGGGTGAAAAGTCCTGGGCTGTTTCGGAGCCTGGAACAGGGGGGCAGGAGGGGCTCAGGGAGAAAGTATGTGAAGCCCCTGGCCCTCTCTGCCCTTCCGTCCCCCGTTCCTGGACACACTGTGCCCAATCCCACTCACAGGGCTCCCCGACACGGAGCAGCTCACACAGCAGCACGGTCAGCTGGATGCTGCTCCGGGCAAAGGGGCACTCGTGCTTATCCTCACGACTGCTGTTCTCCAACACAAACTGGGGTGTTGAAAGCAGAGAATGGGCTGGGGAGTCACAGCTAAGCGCATGGGGACCCTATATAGACAGGCATCCTGCTCTACCCACCCTTCCTCCCAATACTGACCCGGCTGTAGGCACTGGGTGCATGTCTGGAGAAGTAGAGCATGTTGTCCAGGGCCAGCAGGCCAGGGGGCACGCGCTCTAAGTCCTGTGCGGGGTTGCTGTTCTGGGAGAAGGGGCACAGGCAACTGAGGAAAGACCCCAGCCCTCTGGAACAACAGCAGCCCTGGGTTGAGGCAGGAGTGGGGAGCTAGGTAAGGGTCACTCACGGTGAAGCCCAGTTTGCGGAACTCCCGGGCACAAAGGGAACGGCGACGGTCAGCACTCAGCCCAGCACTGAGAGATTCCCCTTCCAGCTCAAAGGCAGCCTGGCGCAGGGCCTGCAGCTGCTCCCGCTGCTCCTAGGGATAATTATTTGGGGGGTGGTCATGATCACAGATTCAAGGCCAAGCTCCAGCTGCCCCCAGCCTGTGTACCCCAAAGCACTCACCTGGTTGTAGGGGTCCAGTGGCGTCCGCATGCGCTGCTCCAGCAATCCCAGTGTAAGGGACTGCAGTACATACAAGTGGTGAGCCATCTCATCGCCCAGTGGTGCTGCGCTATGGATGATGTTCTGGAGGACAGTCCATGGGTGTAAATGTGGGCTCACTGGGAGAGGAGTGGGGAGGGGTCTGCCTGGCCCAGTGCTTCCTACCTTATAGATGAACTGGCGAAGGTTTCTCTGCCATAGGTAGTCAAGCATGTGCTGAGGG